GTCAAAGAAGTCAGTACGCACAGTTGCTATACCAACCCAGTATCCTCCTTTGCTACTTAACCGAATATTGTCTGGAAATCCAGGAAGGTTCTGGGCAAAAACTTCTGATTTGCCTTCATGTTCCCCTTTGATGTAATACCTGAAAATAATCCAGATATAATTTTAACTAATTCCAAATTTCTCCATACAATTCACTACACTTTTCAACAGCATGGGAATGCGAAAGTTCAAAGCCAAACCTGAAACAATTGTTAGTAAATATGGGTGTCTAACATTATTGAATAAATTAAAATCTGCCACTAACAGTAAGGCAGCATATGATTTGTCATGTTGACTCCTTAGTAACAAACATCCTTGGAACCTAAGAACTGAATAAACATATTAGAGAGAGAGAAGAGCTGGGTTCTAATGATAAAGATAATGATAATGATGCATTTACAAAATACATTCTCTATATCAATACGCTCTGATGTGCTTTAAAACACTTTGCAGGAGACTCTGGCCAGACTGCATTATACAGCTTATATTTTTTGAAAGAAATTTAGCAGATAACTCCATTTAGGAATTTTAGGAAACAAGGCCAGACCACAACAACAAGAGCTACATTCTTTACTCTTTGCAAGAAGAGTGTGGGTTTTGTAATGTCCCCTGCTGATCAGTAATAAGATGCTGAAGACAAGACCTAAGGTTTAGACCTAAGAGAAAAATCGCTACTCTTAGTAGACCTATGAGTAGAATTGCTAAACATTGGCAAATGTCATAGCAAAGGCAGCACATTCTCCTCAGTTATTATAAGACCCTGAGTGTTGGCCCAGTCTTTGGCCCAAACCCTCAACTTCCTACAATGCAGTCAAACTGTAGCTAACCAGGAATTTAAACAGAAAAGACTGTCTCCGTGAGTAAGAACTAGGGGACGGTTGTTCATCATGTAGGAGAGTGCTCAAAGAGATTTATAACGCTAGAAAAAAACTTAAAAATCACATGTTCCTACTTCATTATCCTTAATGCTCCTGTTTCTGCTACCAACACATGGTCTCCATCAGGAGAAATCTGAACACCATTGGCAAAATGAAGTCCATCCATAAGAACCTCCATTTCTCCTGTCTTAGGATGGTACGCCATAAGCCTTCCAGTGTTATCTCCTTCTAGTATAGAGTAATGCAGCTGACGTCTCTGCCACTTGCTGCTTGAATCAGTAAAGTAGATGGTTCTGTCTCGTGCAATGTCAAGATCATTCACAAATCTAAAGGGCCTATTATTCATCCCAGGAGAGGGAGGTACAAGGGTGCTGACTGTCCTGGCCTTTGGGTTGACTTCCAACAGGCCTAGATAAGCATCAGCCACAATCAGGTTGATTCCATATTTGTCAAAGCGCATTCCCAAGGGACGTCCACAGGTGGGCTCAGCTTCTGGTGTCCCTGTGTAAGAAATAAGTATTTATTCTGTGGTACCAAGTATGGAACCAAGAATTTTTGATGGAGGGAAGGGGGTCAAAAACTTGATTTAGAAAACACAGAATTTTCTCTTCACACAAAAGTCTTAGGAAGTCAAATACATTCATGATGAAATATATTTCAAGAAAGTCAATTTTACAATTACATGATATTCAGAAGTAATATGTGATCCTGCGTTGCAAGAATTATGGTGTCAGACAAAAAGCAAAAAACCCATTGGTGTGATGGGGATGGAATTTGCTCCTTCCCAGACCCTTCCCCAGATACACCACTGAATATCCAACACACTCATGTGCTATAATAATTTTTCGGAGAAAAGTTTTGTTGGGTACAATTCTTTCATAGTCCTGGAAGGAGGTTTTTTTTAGGGAAAGTCTATCCACAAAGGCATACCTGAACCTTTGAAAATCTGTATGAGAGAGGCCCAAATACAACCATTCTCAAGCAATTTGTAACCAGTGGGAACAATGGATTATGGTGGAGAGGACAGCAGGAAACAATGCTCATAGCCAGTTTCAGGCATTCTTTTATAAAACACAGTAGATGAAAATAGGTTTACAAGATATGAAACGAGGGGTAGTAGCAGCAGAGTAAAAAAAGGAAGATTAAGTATTATTAACTGCGTAGATAACCCTCTGACAAAGGGCTAATGCTCAAAACGTCAGCTTTAAAACCCTTGCGTTGGCCAATTTATATAATCAACTCAGTTGATGATACTTAAATTACCCTGTTATACTCTCCCAATGTTGCAGCACCACAGTTTCTTTAGAAAGTTAACCCCTTTATTCAAAATAAGGGAGGTTTGCTTTGGGTCAACCTGACCCAGACTTCTCTCTTTTTTCAACCCTCCTCCACTATGATGCCATTTACTACCCACTTCATTTTACTAACTGAATGCCTGGAACACACTTCAGTACTCAGTTACCTAATACTCACAATTTGTAAGAATCCTACGAAGCATAAATAGATGGTTAATATCTGTCTCTTCGCAGGCCATAAATCTATTAATTTCTTTTTCATTCATCAAACCCTAACTTACCACAGTTTGTCATCTGCTTCCCAGTTCGAACAACATCTACCACTTTATCTCCCTCAAGTTTGACAATTCTTCCATCAGCTAAGCCAGCATACAAAGTACCTGGAAAAATAAGGACAGTAGCTCCTTGCTATAAACAACTTACAATTTTTAAGCTGGAAATAAAGTTTTATAAAAATTTTTGGTATTTCAACATGATATAAATACCTGTGCTATCTGCAGCTATAGATTCTGGACCAACTAGATCTCCTTCATGCCACTTCTGAGTCTTTGCTAAGATGCTGTTAACCTTCAGTGCTCCTTCAAATTTGGGTCTGGTCTTTTCAAAAACACTGATTTATCCCACATGTTTTGAGAAAACAGAACATTTTCAAATACAATCACCAATATCAAATGTAATTATTTTATACAAGCACTGGGGTCAAGATAGATGGAGAAAACATGACCATGATGTTTTCCTTGAAAAGGTATAGGCACATGGTTATTTCCTATCGGGAAAGAGAACTGAGGGTCAGTCTTTTAAGAAGTAATTTGAATATTATTTTAAGAAGTCTCTTTGAAGTGATCAAAAGTAATGGGTTGTAGGGAAAGTTTTAGAGAGAGATCATTTTAGACTTGTGTTATAATTCTTAAAAGTTAGGTAGCACAAATGTGTGAAAGTGATGTGGAATAAAGCTCTATCAAGTGAAGTTTGATCCAACATCAAATTCTCCACTGTTTCTCACAGAGAGAGCATACAGTTTGAAAGGAGAATGTAACAGTCTGTCAGAAGTCACTTAGACTTTTGTTGTACACCCATTCCTTTATGCACTATCCCAGTTTCAATTCAGCAAAAAAAATAATCTCCCTCTTAGGAAAAGAACACTGCATCTCACCTCACTGCTTTAGGATCAAAATTTGAATTGGGTAAGAAGAAGAACAGAACATCAAGAGCACTGAGAATCAGTAGAAACAAGGTAATTAACATCCCTGTGACACCCCTGTAAATAAATTAAAGTAACTGTAAGTAATTAAATTAAATTTATACCCAAGAACATACGTTTTACTAAATGAATCATAAGCCTGATTGCTCCTATTCTATGGGGCAAAACCGATAGAAGGAAACGAAATAGAAATGATTTAACAGGATGCAAAACAATAGAGCTGAATCAAAAATTTACTGCAACCTTGGGTTAGCATAATCGTGTTTGAAAAAGGCTGGCCAAGAGTAATAGCTTGTTACTGTAAAGCGGAGTCTAAAAAACGAAACCGGAACAACCTCTAAACCAAATTTGCCATACCCTCGGCGCTTTCTGTGGCTATTTTCCCCTTCCCATCCGCGTCTTTCGCCATCACTTCTCAAAAGCTGTAAAAATATCTCATTTTCTTTAATACAAACCCCGAAAAAATGGATGGGTTCTGCGCGCCTTCGAAAGTGAAATATCAATAACTAACCTATAAGGAGACGACACGATATATAGAATCCGTCGCTCGAACGGTAATGGTACCTGAATGCTAATCAACTAGTTTTGAACTAATTAACCCTTATGAAAACTGCAAATAAATTGAAATCTTACATCTTTTATGTTGCTCTATTTCTTGAATACTGACGACCAGCTCTTCCCCTGCAGCCTACAGTTCCGTGAAACGTGGCCTTGGACCGAAGGTAGAACTAGAGGAAGATGGAGAAGGAAAAAGTAACGCAATGTCACTCTCTGATTGGTCAGAACATGTCAGACATCTCTGCAACCGATGTCGACCTCAGACTTTTATGCCCAGTGGACGCTAGTTCTAAAAGAACTCCTTGAATTGATCGTTGACGAACTTTTATTTGCAACATGCTGCAATAAAACGTACCTTACTAGAGCTTCTAGCGGGAACCAGGGGCAATGAAGTTGCGTGACAAGCGACTGGACATAGTTGTTAGTATAGTACGCGCATTTTCTGTTTTTTTTTTCAATTACTGGAAAACGCAGTAAAGCGTCTTGTTGGATGGATTAAATCCTCTTATGATATAAGTCACGCGCTTTTATACAATTTATGTGAGGCGAAATTTGTTACGTTCGGAACACGAAATGAACATGCAAAAATACATTCAATGGGAACGAATAACCAGAAACTCCTGTTAATTATAGACATTCATGAAATTTACAGTTGCCAGTTGAAAAGAAAACATTCGAACAAGAATAAGGATGTGTTATCCTCTCTGCATCCAACGTCACTGTTCGTTGAAAACGGAAACTGGGGCACGTGTGTGAGAGTGGGTGTGGCTTACATAATTTTTGATAAAAGAAGACGGACGAGAGAATTATAGGAAGCCATGTAACTCGTAAAAGAAATCGACTGATACTGATATCTGGTTTCACTCTGGACCAAAGCAAACAAAAAGGACCATAAAAATAAATCTACGTAATGTAAGATTTAATCAAATACTGATTTGTTTTTTATTAAACTTCAAGTTTTGAAAACAATTATATTATATTATTATATATTAATATTATAATAATATTATTATATTCTTTTTCTATATAGTAAAGGAATAGCACTGACAGCGTTAAAAATTAATCTAGAAAGTAGTAAAATGAAAATTGGCTGTAATAATGTTCCGTCAGGGTTATTTAATATTTCACTTTAAGATTTTTGTGTTGCAATCGTTCATCATGATCAATCTTTCAATTCCAGTTTGCCAAGGAAAGGAGACTAGTAGCTATCCAGGTAGAGCTCCAAAAATGTAAATATTTCACTTGGAGATTTTTGTAAAGCTTTTGTACATCAGTCTTTCAACTCCAGTTTACCAAGGAAAGAAGAATGATAGCTACCGAGGTAGAGCACGTTACCATCATCATAAACCTCACTGATATGACCAGGTACAACACTGCCAGTTGGGTCCTGGAAGCTCCTGGTGATATGACCATTTCTATCTAACTCCAGTATGAGACCATAATTTGGGCCTGCAAAGTTTACTAACCATGGAAGGTAAAACACCTGTAACATTAATGCAAAATCAACACGTGTTAGTTGGCTCAAACATTCCAGTTACATATCATGAAAGGTTTCTAGAAAAACATTGATAAGACTTGAATTCTTTGACATTGAATAGCAAGAGGTGTAAGTGGGAAGTATTTTCCAAATTTCAACTAGTCTTTTCTCTGGTTTGGGTTTATTTGAGTAATTTGTGCTAAGATTCTACCGTATAACTTGAGTAAAGAAGCAGGTTTTCAACTGAGAAATAAGGCAGTGAAAGAATGAGGTAAAGTAAAAGGAGGAAACTATTCATGGCTGCATAAAAAATTGCTCAGACAATAGAGCTTTAATGAAAGAATTTCATGTAGTAACCAGATAATTTTTTTTATCGCTGATGGTTTAACCAGCGGTAGATGCCTTTGTACAGGTAAAATGTAATGACATAAATGCCAGAGCAAGGGATTTGTGCTCCTCAAGAGAAAACTTAATTTTATTTAGCAGTCCATGGGCAAAGGTTGTTCGTGGAAGACAAGTAAAAGAGTGTTTGATATTTATACAAAGCTTAATTCTTGCCTTAGCTAAGACGTTCCTGGCCCTAGGGTATGAATACATCAACATGTTATCAAACTCTGTAAAGACCATTGACATAGCAACCCAGTATCCTCCAGTGCTACTCAGACGAATGTTGTCAGGATATCCAGGGAGGTTTTCAACAAACACTTCTGATTTGCCTTTATTTTCCCCTTTAATGTAATACCTGCCATGACAATTTCAAAAATGCTGGGTTAGAGCTGTAGATTAACTACAACCTGTCAAACTCTGAAAACCATGAACACTTGAGCTATCCCAGGAATGTGATTATGTTGAGAAAAAGAAGTCAGTCAGTTGTTAGAAAGCTATCCTGCAAACAGTAATCACTGAATGGTTTTTCATCTTGTGGCTCACTCATATGCAGCAAAAATATTTGAGGTCTTTCTGTTTAACCCATTTCAATATAAAAATATTATAAGGAGAAATTAGATGCTAGACACTCTTTTGGTTCTAAGGGTTAACTAATGGTGCACACACCTGTGGGTGTGTAGGCAAAGTATATCACATAATTCCTGTTTCACATTGATTGACATGTGTTGTCATAACAATCATTGATCTTGGTACTTTATACTTCACAGCAAAGAGACCTTGCCAAGTTCAGTCCTTATAATTACTTCACAGCCCCAAGCCAAATATTTTCCAGTCCAGCCCTCTAAGTCAGTCAACAAGTACATCATATTTACCTTTACTGTCGACAGCCATAGATTCAGGTCCAAACACCTTTCCCTCAAACAGCCTTTCTGTTTTTGTTAACATGCTGTTAACTTTCAGTGCTCCCTCAAATTTTGGAGTCTTCTTTTTCGAAAGTGCTACTTGTTACAAAGAAAAAACTGATGAGAAAACAAAATCTGAGAGAAAATAAAATTAACACCCCTTGATGAACCATGCACATTTCTTACCATAACAGTTGCAACTCCAATAACAATCATAATGCGATCTTTGCAAATACAGGTATACAGATCATAAGTTGAGCTAAGTCGAATTGTGGCAAACGAAGAATTTCAAAGCCTAAGACAGAAACTTGCTAGAAACCTCGAAGGAAACATCTAAGAGGGGGGCAATCTGGGTGTGGCCTAAGGTTTACTTAAGTAGTACAGTTGTCCTTATTGACTAAAATTAGACGAATAAAGAATAGATCTTGACTGTTGAAATTGTTGCTTTTCCATTTGACCACTCCAAGGGGATAAAAATCCATAATTTGCCCACCATGCCATATTCCATTCAATTCTGTTGCGATCAGATCAATTACTGATCATCTAAGTAGATTACCTGTTCAAGATCGGATCAACTGGGGAAGGAATAAAGAAGAACACGACGTCAAAAAAACTCAGAATCAGTAGCACGACGGAAGCAAACATCGCTGTAACGCTCCTCCTGGGTACTTTACTTTGAAAATACTCCTATTGAAACGTAAAAACGCTCACCACAGCGTAACAACACAAATTCTCGTGGAATGTCGCGTCAAGGTCGGAAACTACGTTACGTTCACGTGACTATTGTAATGTCATGCAAAACCTGAAAAACTTCGTAAAGCTTGACCGCGAACTCAAAGATCTTGTTTTTTTTTACAAATGTCGGAATGGTTTTACTGATCTTAATGTTTATGATCTTGTTTCTCCTGTTTCTCACGGCCGAACCAGACTAAGTAATTCTTATAACCTTAAAACTCCTGCTGTATGTAAAACTAACACTTTTCAGGCCTCTTACTTTAATCGTATTGTTAAGCTCTGGAACTATATCTGTAAATTTTCACCCCCTACCAGTTTTTCAACCACTGCTTCCTTCCTTCCTTCTTGGCTGTTTAATTTGCTGTATGTAACATTTGTAATGGTCAATAAGGCTGTTAAAAAAAAGAGAAAAAAAAAAAAAAAAAAAAAAGCTGATAAAATTGCGCGCGTCTGATTGGCTGAAAACAAGAGCAATTTTAATGCGACACGAGTGCAAATTACAAATAACGCGCGCGCTGCCAAAATTTCGTCGGTCTTGACGAACTGTGATGCGTTTATTCATGTAAATTATCAACAAGTGTTAAAAAAAGACAAGAAAAAAGACAAGAAAATTGCACGAGCTTGTAGCAAAATTTACTCGTGCTTATTAACACCGAAATTAAGTTATTACTTATGCTAATTGAATCCGAAGACTTCAAAGAAATCAGCAAGGAAACTTTACATTTTTACGGCGCTGTCCGAAATCGGAGAAACCGTCCTAAAATTAGACGGAACCGCTCAAAGTCACACGGTAATGTCCGGAATCAGGAAAAACATTTCTAAATCAGACAAAATCATTGCAAATCGTGCGGACAAAATCAGATAACAGAGTCCCAAATTAGACGGGACCGTTTACGATCACACTGAACTGTCCTAAATCGGACGGTTCCTTGAGTGATGCCCACGCTTTTCCGCCCCAGTCCTCTTTTCAAACTCTGCCACGTTTTACCACGTCTTATGCGCAAGCGTCGAGAACACAAACTTCAAACTGAAAGTGACTACTGCAAAGAATTTTGCAAAAAGTTGCTTTAGAACATTATATTGAAAAGGTTCTTCATTTAAAAGAATCCGCAGTCATGGACCCACCAATGGGAGGTACAACTTTTTTTCTGTTCTTCCTTACGATCGCGAAAATGGACACTCAAAACCTGGAGTCGTTTGTGGTCGTACCAAATTGTGTCTTCTTTTTATACAATAGGCTTCTTGGGATTTTAGTTCCAGCTAATGGGTTTTATTTCATCGTTTGTTTGCAATGTGGAATCTATTATTATTTTAGTCTTGGAACGTTACACATTGTGCCATTTGAAATTTACTCCTTAGTAATTAAGACGTGTTTCGGTCATCGTCACGGGAAAGTGTTTTCGCAGAAACCTTAGCTACCCAAACCATATGTACATGTACTGTAGGTTTTATCATTGGAGTGGAACCAAGTCGCAGAGAGTGCACTAGATATTCATCACAATAACATGAACGTAAACAAACGTTTTTTTCTATGGGGGTATTTATATTCTTTATCTGACTTTATCTCACGTTATACTGCAGATCAGGCACAGACAATATCGAAAAATAAATGGACTTGACAAAGAGTCATTGAACATAACTTTATTCACGTTTTCATCTTTCCTCTCTCTCTAGACTCTAATGTATTCGCAATGCAAACCTCTCCCCGCAGACGTTCACCATATGATGGTATCTGTGATGTATAATATCTCTTTGCTAATCATTCTTCATACTGCATGCTTTTCTGGTAGTTGTGGTAAATCTTTAAAAATATCTGACTTCTTAGTCTGTCAAGTAACCTAATACCACTCACACTTTTAAACTGAAGCATTATTCTTTTGCTCTGGTAGTAACAAGAGATCTTGTTTGTCACCATTTCTTAAAATAAATGATTAATACTTAATAACTTATAGAACTTTATATATTAAATTAAGTATAGTTTTTACAGTTCTATCACCTAAATCCAGAATAAGGAAGTTTAAAAATAAAAAGAAAAAAATTTTGAAAAATGAAAGATTCTAATGTTTTAAGTTGACAGACCAATAACGCACTGAAATGTTTTGACAATTCAACTGCTTATAAGTTTAAAGCTGTGTTAACTATGCTGACTTCTTAGGAAATTTTCATGCCTAAGACTGTAGATTTTCTATCCCTCAGTTTGGAAGTTTATGCTCAATGTCTGAGTAGCTTGCAAGTGGACTAGAAAAACAACAGTTACAATCAAATAATTTAAAATATTCATATATCAGACCCAGGAACAACTGTTGATTACTCTGTATCTGTTTGAAATTCTTGTTTGTATGATGTTTATTTTAAACATTGTAATATGATAGTTAAAAGTACAAATAATCAGGTGTGTTATACATTCTAAAAGAAGTTTGATATGTTCCAAAAGATATGTTCTAAAATGCGAGGACAGTGGTAGGGGGTTTGTCTTTTTTTCAAGAACTAAAATCACCAAAAAAGCAAAATTTTTTTTGTATATATACTCATCTCTAAATATGAAATCCTTGCATGGGACATTTCTTAGACCTGACTTCACAAAATCACCTTGATTATTAAACTCTTCATGTGATAAGGAGTATTTTATAGTAAAAAAATTGGAACAGCATTTAAAATGATTTAAAATCTATAGGGGACATGTTTATTTATAGCAGTAACTTAATTACTAGGGTAGAGTTTCCTAAGCCTTTCCCATGGATACTTGACCATATATAAAATTGATTTAACATTGAATAGACTTCAATAACCCTCAAAATTTTAAATTAAATACTGTTAGCTTAACATTATTAGAGTGAAATTGGGAATGTACAAGTGTCTGAGTGCACTAACAAATTCAGTGTAATATTAGTTGTCATCAATTACTTGCTGTTATTAGTTACAGTAAGTGTTGTTTACTCTAATTAATGTCACTATTTTTGCTTAAAAAGAAGCCCACATAGAAATATACTCATGAAAATGGAAACTAGTTTGAGCCCCGTTCCGTGTTATTAATGCCCACTTTGTTTTGTTCCTGTCTCCTTCAGACAACTCAGATATGTATAACCAGAGAATGCCTGTCCAGAAAAGGAATGTTCCATCAGGTAGGCATTAATAAACTAGTTTATTTTGCAAATTTTGTCCTTGCAAGCAAATCAGAAGTACAAATAGTGGCAATATAACCCCTTCAATTCATAGTATATATATTTTCAACTTCAGCTCAACATCGAGGGGGCCCATTTGGAGGACACAGTGGTCCTACCCCCCTGTTTGAGGATACAAGTGTAGACCAACAACAGGGAATGCCAGGAATGCAAGGGGGGTTTGGACAGTTTGCTGGAAATGAATTTCTACAAGGTCCAATGGCTAATGTGGCCGTAGGGTATGGAGCAGCCATGGCTAATCAAGGCAAAGAATATGTGGAAAAGCATGTAAGTTCACTATTTTGATTGAGCTTTGTAGCTGAAAATTTTAGCCATCTTCACAATTAGGTTAACCAATTAACTCCCAAGATCTGATTGTTAATTCTCCCCTCCCCTCCCGACTGCCCAATCTAAGTTTAATTCCGTATATAATATTTCAGGTAATATAGACTGGAAAAATATTTATCTATTGCCGGGTCGAGTCACTCTTGACACCAGAACGAGAGCCTTTCAATACAAAATCTTAAATCGTATTCTCTACACCAATAAAATCCTATATAAAATGAATTTGGTTCCTTCTCCAATGTGTACCTTTTGTGGAGATCACGAAGAAACTCTTGAGCATCTTCTAATCAGCTGTACCTACACTAAAAACTTTTGGCTTTCGGTTATTTCTTGGTTAAATACTTACAATATGAAAATTGATAAGCTTGATGAGGTAACAATCCTCTTTGGTATTTCCGATAATAACCCTGGGAATTGTTTGTTAAATCACATAATCATTCTTGGAAAATATACCATTTATTCATGTCGTTGTAAAAATATCAAGCCGTCTGTATCCTTACTGAAGGCTAAAACATCTGAAACTCGGAAATTTGAATTTTTGATTGCAAAAAAGAATAAAAAAGAATCTATTCATTATAAAAAATGGGAAAACATGTTGTTGTAACTCAATAGATGAGTATCGGGTATTAACAGTTATAGACGCAGTTGTATATACAGTTGTTCTACCAAAAAAGGAATTTGATGTAGAAGTATTTGTACAAATTAGGCTTATATTATTATATAACCACAACATAAATTAAATCTAGCCGACTGTGAATGTAATGTAATGCAGTATTTCGTAATTAGTGTTAGTGACTAGCGTAAGCGTTAGTGTAATTAACTTTGTATTTGTTTGTATTACTCTAGTATTTGTGCTTTAAGTGAAAAAAAAAAAAAAATGTTAAAAAAAAAAAAAAAAAAGTTAATTCTCCCCTCTAGCTGCTGTAGTAATAATAATTCCTTATTAATTGCCTATGAGAATTTGGTGTTGGATCAAGATAACAACTTCTACCAAATAAGTTTGAGTCTTCTCGTTACCTGTTTGCTGGATAATATATGGAAATTATGGAGAGAAGTTATAGGAATGAATTAAAATTTATCGACTGATCATTCCCTGTCATCAAAATGTATTTGTAATAACTCCTAGTGACTGATTAGTTTCATTTTCAATTTCATTTTTGTGACTACAGTCGAATCTGTATCAAGTGGCCACCCAGTATTAAGCTGTTGGTTTTCAAAGTCGTAAAATTTCTTCCACTTAAGTACTGTAATTTTCACCTACTAAGCTGTCACCTCTATAAAGTAGTTATAGTCATCCTTAACCCTTTAACTCCCAAGATCTCATTAGTAAAAAAAAAAAATTATTCTCCTTACTATCTCCTGTACAGTTCTTGTGATGTTAGTTTGGAGGATTTAGTATTGGATCATCTTATAATCCCCTAACTGATATTTTTCTTAATTCTCATAACTTGTCTGCTTGATATTGTTTTGATATTGTAAGGAGAAATTCTCTCTTGGTCACTTATGGGAGTTAAAGGGTTAACTGAGCTCCAAGAGCCTGTTTATATGTTCTTCCATCTGTATTTTGATACCATTTAAAACTGGTCATTAACCTAACTAAAGTCTAATAATCTCTAAAGTCAAAATTATTCCATGCCTGTCTCCCTAAGTCAGTGTTAGCACTTTGAATTCAAATTTCCTCAATGCAGTACAGATTATCTTTCCTTTTAGCACTGTTAGGACAAAAGGTTATTTTTTTATCATGCTTGACCTCTATCTTTTCAAACCTGTATTAACCCTTTAACTCCCATGAGTGACCAAAACAGAATTTCTCCTTACGATATCAATATAAAATCAAGAAGACGAGTGATGAGAATAAAGAAAAATATCAATTACGGGATCATTAGTTGATGCAGTACCAAATTCTCAGAAGCAACATCAGAAGAATTGTATAGCAGATAGTAAGGAGAATTACTAAAAAGAACTTGAAAGTTAAAGGGTTAGGTGGTCACCTTGCCATTCCCCTTGGGTTCAGGTTCAACTGTATTAAATGTGGATGTAGTAAATTAAATGTTAAATTATTTATTTGCTGTCTTTTTTTTTTTTTTTGCAGATTGACCGATTTGTTTCAGTATCAAAATTAAAGTATTACTTTGCTGTGGATACGACATATGTTGTCAAAAAACTGGGACTTCTCATCTTCCCTTTTACACACAAAGTATGCAAGGAAATGATTTTGTGGACATAACTCTCTCAGGGCTTTTTCTAATGTTCTCTTTTTTTCCACATGATACAATACTATTGCATCTTCTCCCAGGAGTTTTTGGTGATGAGGGTTTTTTCAATGAGAATCAGGTTGTCTGCTGAAAGTTTTGGAGTAAGTGAAGAAAATTGAGGTTGCATCGCATAAGGTCCAATCAAAAAAGAACAAAGGAAAGTGGAATTGTGGTCATGTTGGAAACATTCGAAACTGTGAATGTGGAAAAATCATTGGCTGCCCAGCTTTAAAAAGCTTATTATGTTTCATAAGTTACTCAAAGAAAAATTTGAAGAGTTGGTTGCCTGAGTTTGGAACCCCAGCTTTGCTCGAGTGAAGCAGCACTGATACAAAACAGTAATCTGTTACCTATTGTACAGTGTTACTACCAATTACGAGATTGAAATGTGGCTGTTTCTTTACCTAGAACTGGTCAGTGCAGTATAACAAGTCAGAACCGGTTGCACCAAGATATGAAGTGAATGCCCCTGATCTCTACATTCCAGGCATGTTTTCAAACTTTGAAGGAACATAGTCACTTTCAACTCAAAACTCAGCTTTGTTTGTCATATTTGCAACAGTATTCCTGATTTTGTTGCCCCCAAAGGTCATTCCTCTCTCATTACCTTTATACCCAAAGTCAAAATATTTCTTATCCCTTGTAGGAGTTGCAATTAGTGTGCACATTTTCCAGGAGCACTCTATTTATGTTATGCACATTTTCCAAGAGCACTCTATTTATGTTGAGTGAACTCCACAAAACTTTCATCCATCCAGAATTTATAGTTTTCATAGCATCAAAATTTTTGTGTGTAATTTATGTCTAAATGGCAGTTGTAAGCTTTGGTGGTGTGCATGGGAAAGGAAAACCTTGAAAAATACCAAACTAAATAGTGAATTGAAATTTGATACTTGGAATTGAGCTGAAAACCTTAAGGCAGCTAGACGACCTATTTCATTCTTTTTTGTTTTGCAGTGATGGCATTTGTTACATACATTCTTGTTGCTGGGCTAGTTATGGGAACACAGAATAGGTAAACATTTCTTTAAAAATTTGAAATTTGTCTGCATGATGTGATCATATTGTAACTTTACTCTTTCTTTTGCCAGATTCACTCCTGAACAGCTGGGTATCACAGCCAGTTCTGCTCTTGTGTGGCTGTTTGTTGAAATAATGGCTATCCTCTTTTCCATGTACATCTGCAATGTGCAGGCAGAGATCAAGTGGCTTGATCTTTTAGCATTTTGTGGCTACAAATATTTTGGGTGAGTGTTAATGTGAGAGAAAATTCATTTTATCCCCAAGAGTGCTTTATGGGTTATTAATCACTCTCTTTCTCTCTCTCTCTCTGCAAGAAAATTGTTTCACTACTCCTTGATTTTATTCTTGAATGACTTAACTAATACCCATTATGACCTCTTTTAGTGGATAAGGAATGATTTCACTGTCTGTAACATCAGTATTTTCTTGTATGCCATGCAGAAGAAAATTAAAAGTTCATGTAATGAAATCATGATTTACAGATTGATTTGGCATAGTTTACGCCTTCTTTAAACTTCTTAGAGTGACACTATTTATTCCCTGGATATACTGTATGTATGATTATACTAGTACTAGTACTAGTGTGTTAGCTCTGGTGATCATAGGGTCAATGCTCGTGATTGGTCAAGATTCACATCATGTCTAGCCATAATAACCCACTTGATGTGATTAAAACGCTAAAGCACTAATTTTCAAAATGTCTATGCAAGCTTTTGATACTTATAAAAGAAAACCAGTACAATGAAAGAAAATGCAGTTGCTCTAGTAATCACCTAAAAAAATTATGCTAAAAAAATTTTTCCCTCTCAGGCTCAATAAGTATTGTCAAAAATTGCAAAAAAGATTTTTTTTTTGTCTGTAGGATGATTGTGAGTTGCCTTGGTGGGCTTGTTTTCCATTCCTTTGGTTATTATCTTATTCTCTTATGGATGAGCATCAGCATTGGATTTTTCATGGTATACTTGTATTCCTGGTCACAGATTTTTTTTTTCTTAGAATAATAACTTTTCTGGGTGGTCAACTTTTGCATAAAAATGTAATTTTTGAGTGACTCTCAAACTTGTTTGTATTCTCTGATTTGTATGCCTGCAGTGCTGCTATGTTTTTGGCATTCAAATACCTAACTTTTCACAAAATGTGTGGCTGTTGTCTTGTATATTTATGGCAAAGAGGCAAGGTGAAATTCCATAGAGGAGCTGGTTAATGGGCAAGAGTGAAGGGGGGGGGGGGGAATGCCTTTTCTCACCCACCTCTCTCACCTACTTCAATTGGTGGCTTGATAAGCTATCACCAGCTTTGAGCACCAAAATGCATTTCCTTATGAGATTTCTGTATTGTAATCTAATACAGAGGCAACCTTACACTCAGATGACACAGGGAAGGATAGGAGGGGACTTGTGATGGGTTACCAATACATCCAGGGAGGGTGGAAAGGGGGGTAGTGCTACTCCAAGTTTCTTCTAGTTGATGGGTAGACTTGCCATAACGGACCAATTAGTAATTTGCCACTATAATATTATGACATTTTCAAGAATACACATCATGAGAAAATGGAAAAATATCAATTATGGTTTTTATTTACCCATAAATTCTTAGTGCCAGCATAGCAAGTAATGTGTGCTCGGCGCAAATGAGACTAAATCTTTAGTTCTTGGCTGGAAACGGCTTAGAAACTTATATTTTGATTTGTATTTCAGGTGCGCACCTTGAGGTTAATTATTGTACCAGAATCTGCACCTGATGGGATCGCCAGAGCAAGCAAACGAAGAATATACCTTCTGTTATTTATAGCCGTGTTGCAGCCCTTGTTCATGTATTTCTTAACAAGTCATTTGAGACCAGTCTCTTCAGAGTCCTTAAATGGCCCGAAAGCTACCTTGTAAAAATGCTCTGTAGATAAGAATTTAATATTTGAAGCGCTCTGTTCCTTCTGTTTCACAAGTTAAAGCTGCTTAGCCAAATGAAAATTTCCTTTCAAATACTTAGGCAGATTAGAAAAGAGGATTTCCGCTTCTGTATACATTGGTTTTTGAGGGATCTTCCAGAGTTCTGCTATCAACTCAAGGAGGAAGAAAACAGAAATGCGGTCAAACAAAAACAAGCAGTCCCTGACTACGCCGAGAATCTAAGGGGTTAGATTGTTTCAAGCAATACTGTTTTCCTCTGACTGTTTGGAGCTGCAGATTTGTTTGACGCACTCAAAAATTATGCAAAATATGTTACACCCGATCATAGAGAAAATTCTGACCACGTGACTTATCCTACGTCTACAATCGTCTAAATGTCAGTTCTCGCTAGATTTTTCTTGCGCATTTTTCGGTTAGTGATTTGATATCAAGATTGTGTTGTGCTCAAGACTTGCCGTACTAAACCGAGAAGTTGAACTAATACTTTCCTTGTATGGGTCTAGAATAACGACAACTCTAAAAGAAAGAGCAGCTTTCTCAAATTATGTTGTAAGGTTCAAAGTTAAAAAAGATTTGGAAACGTAGTAAAATGAGCTAACGATGCGACAGTTACATTGTAAATTAAATGTAGATCTCATCGTATCATCCAGGGCTCTAATTACTCCTTGACAGATGACAAAAAATTACAGATTAAAACAATTCTTGTTCGTGGATAAAAGTTCTTGTCTCTATTTTAAATATCGTGTTTGTATCTGGCATTGGATTTCGTATCTGGGTCTGAAGGAATGCAATGCAATGCTACGTGATCATGCTCGTTTCTCACGGTCGAGGCTTGCTCTGTGTGTTAACATTGATAGGGCCCCTATTTAAAATTGTTCTTGCTGGCTGAAGAAGTGATGAAAATTTTGGTGATCCAGGTTGACAGATCTAAACAGTTTCATTAGAGCCAGCCATAGTGTAAATGTCTCAAAAAAACAATTAAAAGCATATAATCGTCAACAATTAAAATGAAGAGTCGAAGAGGTAAACTAATTCATATTTGACAAGAAGAATGAAAGTGACGCAAGTTCACCTGTTGATGATGATTTCTTTTTAGAAACTGAATCGGTCCGTTTGTTAAATTTAAAACGTCCAAATCAAAAGCGTCGTATTCGCCGAAGTAGCCATGGTTAAAAGTCGTTCATGCGTGACAAGTTGTGAAAAAGTTTTATTTTCTACTCATTGCGGGTTTTTATAGATTGGATAGAACGACTAGAGATGTAACAAAATATAAACAGAGCTGATCGAGTTGGGGTCAAACAATAATTGACATCACATGGCAATAAAGGCCACAGACATTACAACTATTACTACTGCAAAAGCAAGAGTGACTCCAACGATTTCCGCCACCCGTCCCCTTTCTTGGGCTTGGTGTTTTGCCTTTAGTAATGCAGCCTTTGCAGTTGAATTAACCGGTTTCTGTACCTTCTCTGAGCCGGGCTCCAAAGTCGTTGGTCTTAAGAGTTTATCCTCCACTTTAGGGCCTAAGCAATGACGAGAGAGAGAATTGTGCAAACAGATCATGGGTGTGGTTCGCTTAGGATGAAAACAGTTGCAGTTGTTTCCATTGGACTGGCAAAGTCGATTAGCCAGGTAATGTTTATTCCGTTATAAGTCGAGACATACAAAAAGTTTATGCGAGAAATTTATCTGTTGGAAATTACTTATAGTGGTCAAATTAAACAGATATCCCTTGAAACCATGAATCTGTGTCGTGCCATCTGACTTTATGCGCATATCGCTCACTTTCATCACGTAACGTAAATATGTAACTGAGAGGGCTAGACCAATTTACACAATGTTTGAAGTTTTTTTTTCTCAAAGACGATAACGGAAATAGACTACTCGGTATATTAAAATTAGCTTTGCGGGATATTTTTGCGAGGTTGGCAACGCTACATTTTGAGTCCTGACTGAAGTTAATGGTTTGAAAAAAGGATCTACCATGGAACGAAAGTCCCAGCTGATTTCAGCTCGGTACACATTTTCTACATCCTTGGTAAGTTACTTCAACAGCATTTATATAATACCCTTACCGCATAACTCCTCCGTGGAAAGAGTGATCAGTATCGTTCCGAGCAAACTGGATGGCGAGGCGCATTTGATATCTTGGATGTGTCTAACTAAAGGGAAGTGGTTTTTTGAGCCAAGAAGGCGTTCTCGAAGCCATTCCAGATTGCAGTCGCAGTGAAAAGGGTTTCCTCCGATAGACCTGTAAACAAGTAAAATTTAAGATCAAGTAGAAATCATCATAATGTCAGGATTCGTATTACGTATCAAGTAGTCGCCTGTCTCTTCCCAACTGAAAAACTTTTCGAAAAGAATAAGGGTTGATTTCGCTTCCATTTTGCAGTGATGCTGTTTGTTCCCACCCAGTTCGAGTGATGTGCAAATAAGGGCTTCAATAAAGTCATGTGCATGACGAGGGAGAAATGAAGGTGTCTCATTTTTTGAGGTGCTCCATTTGGAAAAGGAGAGGTGCTTTCACTTTATTTCGAAGGCGTCCGATTCTGGAGTGCAGTTCTTTTCAGACGGCGTGTAATCTAAAATGACGTCCCCTTTCAGAACCGTTTCGATATTTCGTGGAAGTGATTTACTAGCTGTACGTACCCATGTGTAAGTGAATTTTTGGGTATGAAAACGTGATAACTATGTCATTTCACTTCAATTTTTCTGAGTACTTTTGAGTTGCAATGCAATAACGGAGATATTACATATTCGATAGGTCCATTAACGTTATCTTTGTCATAGCAACACATCGCATGATAAATTAATTCTGCAGATTTAAAAAACAGACAGCATATCGTGTGACTCGCGAAAGGTTTCTCTGTAGCTCCGTGGAGGAACTTCTGGTCAGTCTGTGGAATGTCAATGGTTCGAACTGCCGTTTATTTCTATACACTGCGAAGCACTATCGTTCGTGTCTCTGATTGGACGAACCATGTATTTTCACAGTCGTTCATTTCTAATCTTTGAATTGAAACGTAAAAAAATCTCAGTATGTTTGAAATAAAAACACCATACCATGGAAAGTGCTTAAACGATTTTTATTCACGAAACGCGATGCGTCAAAAGACTCACTCGTTCGCTTTTTTGATACATCGAAACTCGTGAATAACAATCCGAGAGTGCGCATGAACGGCGTTAGTACACGCTCTCCAATAATCTCGATTTCCCTCGGCCCTCTTTTACGACATCTTGAAAAAACCTCACGGAGCGATTACTGTTCCTAGGGTAGTTACTAAATCACAAACATCAGCACAATACATATACCAAACACACTTACTTTTTTGCTATAAAACTGTTACAGTCCACAACTGAATTAAGAAACAAATCAAATAATAGGACTTCTTTTAGACTCACAGGTGATGAAGGTGTTCTAGTTCCTGAATTGATTCTTCAAAAAATGTTGTGATGTTGTTTCGCTCCAAATTTCTGTTGAAAAATAAGGAACTTATAAATTGAAGGAGGAAAGGAAGATGGATAGAAAACTAGAAAAAAAATGGGAAGAAAAATGGGCGTGTACTTACATAGATTGAACACTTCTGTAACCATCACCAAATTGAACACTTGAGATGTTGTTTCCGGAAAGATCTCTGTAAAGGATTATTAATTCTGAACGATTCACAATAATTCGCGAATGAATGTACGCTTATTTTGTACAGATATAATTTTTTGACTTACACAGTTACAACTTCCCAGCTTTCTTTCACTTCAGGGATTGCAAATATTCCTGCGTTGCGACACTGAAAAAATTTCCTGTCTTTGTAAAATCTACATCCCGTTGGATAGCCTTCTGCGATATCATCAGAAACCGAATGCGGAACTTTTTCCCCGGACTGTGCTCCACAAAGAGAATATTGAAGAAAAATCAAGACAAAGATTGGTGCGAAAAGAGTTTTGGCCATTGCAGAAACAGTGGCGGTTTTTGAAACTTCATTTTGACGTCAAATTGAACGGTCGCTGAGCGCGCTATTCGCGCATGCGATAAAAGCGCGAACTTTTTATACAACGTTATATTTTCATTCGATTTTATTTCAGTCTTTGTGTTTAATTAATCGAGATTTTTGGGATTAAAACCTGTAGTTTTGGCCTACGCTTGACTTAATTAAAAATTTGCGTTATTAGTCATTTTTCAATTGCGCGCAGCGTCAATGTTTCAAACTCCGATTTTTTCGCCTGACAAGTAATCTGTTTGGTAGACCTTTGTCAAGAAAGCTATTTCGAACTAGGAAACTTTGTTCAATGAAAACTGAGCTGACGCATTCATAAATTTTTGTTCCGTTAAAAACGAGTTTCGAAGAAAAGATAACAGATAAAAAATTAGCTTATGATTGAAATAAAAGTTCCAATTATTTTTGACGTTATGTCTTTAACATTACGTACTTTCTTTGGCAATTAGGTCGACGTTGCAGTTTATTACGTCACTCGTTGAATCGGTTAAAACAAAAACTCTGAGATGTGACGACGAAAAACTGAGATCGAAATGGGCGGCGCTTGGCGAATGCACATCTTGGTGTTGTTGTGTTGTGTGTTTATCATCTCGACCAACGGAAAGAAGAGCGCCTCCTCCAGCTGCAGAGTGCGTCGGTTTGAAAAAAAGCTTGATTGCAGAGGGGTTGGATTCAGCAGGATACCTAAGATTGACAAAGGAATACTGATAGCGTACGTGAAATACTTTGGTTACAAATTGATTTCGTTTTGTTAAGAATCAGTTGAAGTCAATTCGCTCCGTTCCCGCGCTTTAGGTAGTTTGCTTTTTCAGTTACTTTGAGTTCTGGCTGGCTCTTTGGATTATTTTCCTTTTGGTTGACCGTTGTGATAACTGTGTTGTTACCACACTCAATCAGAAAACGCTCTTAACAACTATCGTACAATGCTTTCAATAAGGTTTTATATATCATTGTCATTCCTGCGCGTTTTGCTATCCATTGAAAGGCAGCTCATTTTCCACAGAGATTTTACAGACAACTATATAACACACTTCACCAAAGAGGATTTGGGACGCCTTAGAAGGTTACAAAAAGTGTGAGTATTCATCCATGTAGATTGGTGTAGTGTGTACTTGAACGAAGTGGCCCATCCAGCTAGAGCTTATCCCGGTTTTCATGGGATGAAGCGATTAGGAATATTACAACTACATCGCAAATTTACCCCAGCATTTCTCCAGTAGCCAAGCTTCCATGGTACCCAGTGATACTCTTATCTGGAGAGAGGTTCCTGCGGGGTTCCTGCGTACTGACCGCAAGGTCACCAAGTCTCTCACACTCAATGAGAGTATCTTGATAATTATGAATTTTTCCAAAACTCTAGATCTATCAGGAAAAATCTATATATGATTATTCGGTGAAATGAAATTATTCCTGATTTAAAAGTCAAAGGTTATCAATCGCCTTTGGTATGGAGCTTCCCTGGTATCAAGGTTATCCCTAAAAAGTTAAAAAAAAAAAAAAAAAAAGTGGCCATAAGCCATTGAAAAACTGCTGAAATTTTTTTTCCAGAGAGT